TGCGCCCGGCGCTGGGCACGAGGCGCGAGGTTTCTGCAGAAGAGTGTGTCGTCTCGCGTTCAGAAATAACGTGGTCTTCTCAGCACTGGGAAGTGCGTGGTTACGAAGTGGTGTTTTAAAATTAATATCCCATTGGTGTTTTAAAATTAATATCCCATTGGGGTTTAGTTCAAGTTTTTATTTGACTGTACAGAGAGAGGAAGGGGTAGAGATAGGGGTTTGTTGCTCTGTTTACTGACGCACTCATTGCTTGGTACTCGCATGTGCCCTGACGGGGGATCGAACCCTCCACTGTGGTGTATCCAGACGCTCTAACCAAGTGAGCTGCTCAGCCAGGATCTGGACTTTTTTTTTTTTTTTAAGACTTTATTTTAAAGAGAGGGGAAGGAACAGGGAAACAGGAGGAGACAGATATCAATCATTGCCTCTTACACACCCCCAACCGGGGACCTAGCCCCCCACCCAGGCCTGTGCCCTGACCAGGAATTGAACCAGCAACATTTCAGTTTGCAGACCAGCGATCAGTCCCCTGAGCCACACCAGCCAGGGCTGGAATATATTTTTTTGGACTTTTCTTTCTTCTTACCCACCAGGTGTTTTTATCAATAAAGCCACCTAATCCAGTGGTTCTCAGGTGACCCCCAGGGCTGCAGTGTTAGCCTCACCCGGAAACTCTTAGAAAAGGCGGGTTCTCACGTCCCGCCTGGCTCGGGACTGGGGTGCGGGGGCTCGGCCATCTGGTTTAGGGAGGCCGCCTGGCGTCTGGTACCCAGGTGTGGGAACGCTGGTAGAACCCCCCGACTGCTCTTGCTGGGAAAGAGGCGCAGGAGAGACTGGGGTCTGCCCGAACTCGAGCGCTGGCTGGCGGGACTGGGCCTGGAGGGTCCCATCAGGCTGGCCCTGGGCTCTGCGACGAGCGACCGCCGGGGGGCTGCTCCTTGGCTGAGGGTGGCCTGCCAGCAGGCCGGCTGGGGCCCCGCAGACAACCGCGGTGAAAGGAGTGAGGCCTGCTTGCTGAGCCGGTCTGGGCGCGGGTAAGAGCGGTCTCACGTGCAGTCACAGCCGCTCGGGGAGGGGCCGTGTGCCCGGAGATGGGGCCCCAGGAGCCTCCTCGTGCGGATCCGGTGCGCCCCTGCACGGCGCCGGGTGGCCTGGCCTGCGCCCCCCCGGGCTGCTGCGCAGGCAGCACGAGAGAAGCGCTGCCACGGGGAGACGGGGCGGACACAAGCGTGGGGCACTGCCGCCGGCCTGGTAGGCCCGCGGGGCAAGGGGCCCAAGAGGAGGAGGAGGAGGAACAGTGCCTGTAAACGGCCGCAGGCAGCGTAACACGGCGAGCCCGCGTGTGCTGCCGAGCTCTGCGTGGCGCCGTACATGACGCCGTACGTGGTGCCGTCCTGCCGCGGGCTGCGCAGTGCGTCTGCCGCGTCCCTGGGCGGTGGGAGGCTTTGGCCCCATGATGCTCTGCGGGGCCTGCGTCGTGGGTGTGGCCTGTTGTGCGGCCCAGGGCTGTGCCGGGTCGTTTAGGGTATTTGCGTGGGGTGCCGCCCACAGCAGCCCCGCCCCGCGCCATGCCAGGGGCGTGTCAGGGTCTGGTGTCGGGGTCTGCCGCTCGCCGTGCGGTGGTGCTAGCGGCTGGGTCCCTGCGGGCGCCCCGCAGCGCTGCAGTGACTGTCCTCCGAGCCCTGTCACTCCCGTGCTCCGGTCAGGCTCCACACCCAGGGCAGCACGGACGGCCATGCGCCCACAGGGCGGCCCTGGGGCTGGAGCCCACGTGGGTCTGGCTGTGGGGAGCCGACCTCGCAGCCCCGCTCCGGCCCTCCCCCTGGCGGGCGGGTCACTGGGCTGGAGGGACGTCTCACAGCTGAAGGGTTGCGGGTTTGATTCCCAGTCGGCGCACACCTGGGAGGCAACCAATCCATCTCCCTCTAAAAGCAATGAAAAAGTGTCCTCGGGTGAGGATTGGGGGGAAAAAAGAAAGAACTGGCCCCAGCTGGTGTTACTCAAGTGGGTTGAGAACGGGCCTGTGAACCAAAGGGTCGTGGGTTCGATTCCCAGGCAGGGCACAGGCCTGGGTTGTGGGCCAGGCCCCCAGTGGGGGGCCAGTGAGAGGCAACCACAAGTTGATGGTTCTCTCCCTCCTTCCCTTTCTCCCTTCCTTCGCCTCTAAAAGTAAATGAACAAAGAAATAAAAAGAACTGGCCTCTCGGCCCTCCAGTCCTGAGACAGGCACAGGGCGGGGACGCTGTGGTCCGGTGCGGCCCCCGCTGGAAGTGGCCGCGCGTGTCCAGTGCAGACGGCCTCCCGGCCCGGGGCCCACCCGGGAGCCCCTGCCGTCCTGCACCCTCAGGCCGGCCCAGTGCCCGCAGGCGTGACCTCACCTGGCGGCACTTCGTCCTCCGCGCCTGCCCCTCGGTGCTTTAGAAACGCACGCCCAGTCAGCGCCTCGCGGGCCACGCGTCCCGAGGCCCTGCCGTCTGAGTCCTCTCTGCCCGCGCCCCGCCCAGGCGTGGACATGATCAGCAAGATGCTGAAGATGCAGATGCTGGAGGACGAGGACGACCTGGCCTACGCCGAGACGGAGAAGAAGGCGAGGACGGACTCCACGTCCGACGGGCGCCCGGCCTGGATGCGGACGCTGCACACCACCGCCTCCAACTGGCTGCACCTCGTGCCCCAGACGCTGAGCCACCTCCGGCGCACGGTGGAGAACATCAAGGTGGCTGGGCGGGCCGGCCCGGGGCCCGGGGGCCCTCGGCGAGAAGGGGGTGGGGGCACCACCGCACGGGCACACGCCAGCGCCCGGCGGGAGGGCTGGCCCCGAGAACCGGCCCAGACGCATGTGGGACGCTGTCCATCTGCCCGGAGCCGTGGACACCACCCTCCAGCCCTCTCTACACGCTGTCGGGGCTGCTGCCGGTCGGAGGGTCCGACCGGCCTCCTGGGGGTCGGGTCCAGGCGGTGCTGCACCGTAGGTCCTGGGCTCCAGAGACCGGTGGGCCGGGCTGCCCCGCAGGAGGGGCCTCGGCCCTGCCCCCACCCGTGACCCCGGCCTTCCCTGCGAACCCCCGCAGGACCCGCTGTTCCGCTTCTTCGAGAGGGAGGTGAAGATGGGCGCCCGGCTGCTGCAGGACGTGCGCCAGGACCTGGCCGACGTGGTCCAAGTGTGTGAGGGGAAGAGGAAGCAGACCAACTACCTGCGCACGCTCATCAACGAGCTGGTGAAAGGTGCCCGCCCGCCCGGCCCCGCCCCGGTCTCCGTGCCCTCCGTGCCCTCCGCGCCCCTTGAGACACGTGCCGACGCCTTCATGCAGCTTCCGGAGTCTTCGGGGCGGGGGTGGGGGCAGGGCGGGGGATGGGGTGGGGGGCTTGAGTCCAAAGGTGCTGGGCGGCCCCAGGCCTCTGCTCAGCGGCGAGCGCGCGGAGCACGGGGACGCGGGGTTGCTGCCGCAGAGCCTGTGTGCCGAGAGGCTGTCCCTGGGGTGTCCCCTGGGGCGGTCAGGTGCTCCCGGCACGCCCCACCAGTCACACCGCAGGGGCTGAGGTGGAGGGCGCACCTCTGGGTGCGCCCAGGCTGCGCTGAGCGCCAGCGGGCGCCCGGTCTGCGCTCTCCCTGCAGGGATCTTGCCCCGGAGCTGGTCCCACTACACGGTGCCCGCGGGCATGACCGTCATCCAGTGGGTGTCCGACTTCAGCGAGAGGATCAAACAGCTGCAGAACATCTCGCTGGCCGCCGCGTCGGGTGGCGCCAAGGAGCTGAAGGTGGTGCCCGCGCCCCCGAGCGGCCTGGGGAGGGACTGGGGCTGTGCCGGGTTCGGGGGGCAGCCACGGCTGGGGGGACGAGCGGAGGCCCTGGTCTGGCCTGGGAGCGCGCGCGTGGGCGCACCCCTCACCGGCCCGCCTCCCCCCGCAGAACATCCACGTGTGCCTGGGCGGCCTCTTCGTGCCCGAGGCGTACATCACCGCCACCAGGCAGTACGTGGCGCAGGCCAACAGCTGGTCCCTGGAGGAGCTCTGCCTGGAGGTCAGCGTCACCACCCTGCAGAACGCCGCCCTCGACGCCTGCAGCTTCGGGGTCACGGGTGAGTGGGGCTGCGGCCCGGCCCCCGTACGCGGCTGCCCTCCCCAGCGCCTGGCCCTCGGGGGTGGCGGCAGGGGGCTCCCCTGACGGTGCACCCCCCCCCCCGCCCCCCCAGGCCTGAAGCTGCAGGGCGCCACGTGCGGCAACAACAAGCTCTCGCTCTCCAACGCCATCTCCACGGCCCTGCCACTCACGCAGCTGCGCTGGGTCAAGCAGACCAACGCGGAGAAGAAGGCGAACGTGGTGGGTGGCGCCTCCCGTCCGTTGTGGTCAGGGGGACGCCGAGGGTCTGCGCCTGGGACCGGGGCGGAGGGGGCTTGTGGCTGTACCTGGAGTCACCCAGGTCCCAGGAGCAGCCTCCCCGCACCTCCCCCCTCCCCCCCGGGGGCGGCGCCCCATCCGCGCCGGCCGCCCTCACCGCCCCCCCCCCCGCCCTTCCCCCCACACAGGTGACATTACCCGTCTACCTGAACTTCACGCGGGCAGACCTCATCTTCACGGTGGACTTCGAGATCGCCACCAAGGAGGACCCCCGCAGCTTCTACGAGCGCGGCGTGGCCGTCCTGTGCACGGAGTGAGGCCGCACGCCGTGCTCCCCCGCCGTGGGGAGGGGGCGACGCTAACTTCACTCGGTCTCACCGCCTCGGGGAGGTGTGGGCTTGTGCGGGCGCGGTCGTCGGCTGGAGGCTGGTGCAGCGAGAGGCCGGGCGGCCGGGACCACTGGGACCCGCTGGGCCGTGGGCGGGCCCAGCGCAAGTTCGGAGGGGCGAGGGCGTGGCTTGTTTTATGAAATAAAACACTAAGCATGATCCGCGTCCCCCCCCTCCGTCTCGGCACCCGGGTGAGCTCGGCTGCGGCCGGTGGTGGTGGAGCCCGGCACCTGGTTCCCGCAGACCCTGCTGGAGGGGCAGCGGGTGGTGGCAGCTGGCTCGCGGAGTGCTGTTTGCCCTCACGGGGCGTGGCCACTGCGTGAGCATGAACTCCCTCCCGGGTTGGGGGCTGGGGGGCGTGTGGGCGCAGGCGCAGGCCCTGCAACAAAACTCACGCAGCGGGCGCCCGTGAGCCTGGGACCCGCGCCCCAAGTGCTGCCCGGGCACTCAAGCCCTGACCCAACCCCAGCTTCTGTGGAGCCGCCGGGTCCAACGTCCCCGGGCCAAGACGGGAGCCAGAGCCCCACCTCATTCTTCTGGAACGTTCCTTGAGAGATGCCGGGTGGCCTGAGGGCTGTCACACAGCTGTGCTCTGATGAAAACCGTGCCCGTCTCCCCCGCACTTCCGACGCAGCCTAGGGGCATTCTCAGCATCTGTGCGGCAGGCTCGTCCCCGAGGAGGTGCGAGTCCGCCTGGCCCCCTCAAGCCCCCCCCACTGGGGGTGGGGGTGGGGGTCCCAGTTGCTGGGAGGGACATGGAGCTGTGCCCCACGGGGCCAGGACCTGCTGCAGCCAGGGCCCACGCAGAGGCATTAGGCTGCCGTGGAGACCCCCGCCCACCCCCTGGGTGTCGGCCACCAGGACCAGGGTAGCAGCTCCGCCACCAGGGGCTGCCACATGGGGCCCAGCAAGGAGCCCCAAAGTGCCTACTTGCCTCTCAACCAAACACCCGAGAGACCACACACAGGTCCGGCCCCTCCCTCATTCTGTCCATGGGGTCTGAGGGGGCCCCTCTGCTGGGACCCCCACTCGCCCTGCAGCAGCCACAGCCCTACCCGTCCTCGCCGGCAGGAAGGGGGACCCAAGGGGGCAGGGGTGGGGACTCAGAACCAGAGCCCTGGCCCGTGGGACCGGCTCCACTGCACCAGTGTCCCGTGGGGGAGAGGCACCACCCCCCAGGGCCCGTGCACCCCCAGGGCCCGTGCACCCCCAGCCGCCGGAGGGACCCATGGCTCTGTCCTTGGGAGGACCCCCTTTTATTGGTGCCAGGACCAGCGTGGGCTGTGGACCGCGGCCGAGCGGAGGGCGGGGCCGTGTGGCGCTCGTGGTGTGGGCCTGCGAGGGGGGGAAATGCACTGTGACACGGGGGGGGGGCACCAAAGCTGCCCCCCCCCGGAGCCCGTCCTGTTCAGGCCGCTGCGGCGCAGGGGTCCCGTCCCCTCCCCCCGTGGCCGCCCACTCGCCTGGGTCTAGGCTGCGTGCTGCCGCCGCCTCTTCCTCTTCTCGGGCTCGGAGAGGAAGAGCTCCAGCTTCCTCTTGGACAGGGAGAGCCGGTGCCCCTTGTCCCTCTCACTCCCGAGTCGGGGCGGCTGCCGTGACACCCGGGCCCTGCCCTGCGCGCAGCGGCCGGGCTCCGGGGACGCCGCGGCCGGGAGGGGGGGCCCCCAGTCTCCCTCCATCACCCCCGGGCCGTCCGGAGGCGCAGCCGCCCCGGGGCCGCCAGCCTCCACGGGCTGCATGTCCCCATCATCGGCCCCCGGGGGCACCGGGGCCCCCCCGGCAGCTCTCACGAGGGGGCCGGGCACGTCCGACCGGAGAGAGTCTTCTGGGTGGACCGGACTCCTGGGCTTCGGCGCGTGTGAAGGCCGGTGGCAGGGCGGGTCCCCCGGAGACCGGTCCTTGAGGCTGCGGGCCAGGGGAGCCGGGGGGTCCTCCCAGCCGGCGTGAGGATCTAGGAGCTGACAGGCAGGGGGGCCCTGAGCCGGCGGGGCGAGGACAGCTGACAAGGCGGGCCCTCGGCGGGCCCCGGGGACCCGGGGTTCAGGAGGGCCCCCGCCATCCCCTGGGCAAGAGTGGCCACCGGCTCCTTCTGTCACCCACCTCTCTCCAGACGCCGTCAGCCAGGTCCACGTGGCCCCTCTTGGGATGGGCCTGGGGGGAAACGGGCTTGAAGACGCCCCTCCCGCCGGGGAGGCAGATGCCTGGCCCGCCGCCCCGGCCCTGGGGGGACGGTGGCCCTGGCGGGGTGCGGGGGGGCGGGCAGGGTGGCAAGGACACGGCTCTCGGAGCCCGAGCAGGAGCGGACCCCACAGAGCGTTGGCTGAGGGACTCAGATGCACGGCTGGGCCAGTGCGAACGGGAGGGGCAGGCGGGAGCCGGGTCGTCGCCTGTCGTCCCCGGTCCAGTGCGTCCTCGGGAAGTGGCGGGAGGGCCCTTCGGCCCCCCAGGCGGCAGCCTGGCCCGTGTCTGGCCCCCGAGCCCGGAGGCCGTGGAGAACCAGCCCTCCGCCTCGACCCTTCCTTGAGGTGCAGAGGCTCAGGGCCAGGATGGCCAGGCACCCGATGTTCTAGAACCCTCCCCGGGCAGCCCAGGCTGATGGGGAAAGCAGCTCTTCCCTGTCTTCTTGGCCGGAAGACAGACTCCCGACTCCCGAGGGCGGGGATCTGAACACCTCTGACTCGGGAAAGAGGAAACCGCTGTGAGGGTGACACCGAGAACCACCGGCACCGATTTATCCGAGGAGGGCCGGCCAGGCGGGGCTCCAGGTCTCGGGCGCACAGGGCGCTGCCCCCTCCCCCCCACCCCCGTCCTCCGAGCGGGAAGCACCTTGAGGCGATGCAGCGCGTTTCTCCGCCTCCTCCAGAAGCCGGCCCTGGTGCTGGTGGCACTGAGCGCGGCCCGGATGCAGCAGGGTCGGCCGCGCCGCGGACTAGCCATGGCTCGGGGCCGGGGGTGCACTTGTCGCGGCGCTGAGACACATCCAGGCTGTGGGGACGACACAGCACGGGTCAGCGGTCACAGAGGGCGGGGTGCAGGGCTGGCCACGGAGGGCAGGAGGAAGCTTTCCGGAAGTGTGGCGGGGTCCCGTCTTGGCCGGCGGTGGCTCCACAGGGCACAGGCGTCAGAGGTCAGGGGTCAGAGCTGGGCGTTGAGGGGGGAACGTGACCGAGTCCGCACCAGTAAGACAGGTCCGGGGACCTTCCAACGCTTTTTCGGTTCAACAAAAACCCCCCAGGCAACAGCCACGCTGCCACCTCTGCGTGGGGAAAGCCCCTCACCGGGCAAGGCCCCGCACTCATCCACACCGAGAGTTCTAGAACATTCCAGTGCAGGCAGGAGCGCACCCAGCTCAGGTGTCCCCCTGCCTTGTCTCGTTTTCTAGCGGGTGAAGACATTTAAGCCCAGGCTGGGGACAGACTGACCCAAAGAGACAGAAACGGAGACCTTTTCCTCAAAAATTTGAAGTTGTTAGAAACAATTTTTTAAAAAACTATACACCCAGGCCCTGGCTGGTGCGGCTCAGTGGATTGAGCACAGGCTGTGAACCAAAGGGTCGCCAGTTCGATTCCCCATCAGGGCACAGGCCTGGGTTGTGGGCCAGGTCTCCAGTTGGGGGCGCATGAGAGTCAACCACACATTGATACTTCTCTCCTCTAAAAATTAATAAATAAAAACCTTAAAAAAAAAAAACAATCCAGCCCTGGCTGGCATAGCTCAGTGGATTGAGCGCGGGCTGCGAACCAAAGTGTCGCAGGTTCAATCCCCAGCCAGGGCACATGCCTGGGTTGCAGGCCACGGCCCCCCAGCAACTGCACATTGATGTTTCGCTCTCTCTCTTTCTCCCTCCCTTCCCTCTCTAAAAAAAAAATTTTTTTAATAATCAAAAATCTTAAAAAAAAAAGAAACAATCCTACACACAAAGAGCAGAGAGAACATCCACTCTGCAAACAAACAGGCCCTGTCCCGCTGCGCCCAGGTTGCAGGTTCGAGCCCCGGTGAGAGCCCAGACAGGACTCGACCGATGAGTGCATTGGTACACGGAAGAACAGATGGATGTCTCTCCCTCTCTCCCTCTCTCCCTCTCTCTCCCTCTCTCCCTCTCTCTCCCCCTCTCCCTCTCTCAATAAAAATTAAGTCACAAGAGAACAGAGCTAAGAACAAGGGACTACCGACCTCCGAGCAGCTGCATGTCCCTCGGCATCCGAGAACCCCGGGGACGCTCCGCGAGGCCCTGCGGGGCAGCGCCCGTCACAAAACGTGCCGCCTGCCACGGCTCAGCCTGGTGAACGCAGGATTCCCAAAGGGGGCTCCTCGGAACCCCCGCTCTCCGGCCTGGGAAGCACACCAGACCCCAAGCCACCCTCACCGTGCACGACACACATCAGCATTCTAAAGCTCGAAAGTCTCCCAGAGAAACACGCTCTACTTTTTCTAGTATTAACTGAAGTCTATAGTTCATTGCGATTTCTTCGGTTTTCCCCTCAAGTCCCATTTCTGTCCCAGGATCCCTCCCGGGACACCCCACTGCGCACAGCCCCCCCCGTCTCCTGAGGCTGTGCCTGTCACTCGGCCTCGACCGGTTTGAGGAGGACTTTGCAAGATGTCCCTGGGTCTGAGGGGGCTCTGGGGATTAGGGCTCGGCTACAGAGCGGGGGGGCTGTCTGGTCACAGGACAGCGAGGGCCTTGCCCTGCCCTCCCCAGCCGTCCGCTGGGGACGCGGCACCCTGCCCGCCCACACGCAGCAGCAGAGGATGGCCCCGGGGGCCCGGTCACCGCGCATCGCCCACACTGGGGCTACGCCCCCGCACGGCGTATCCATTTCCTGCCGCCGTGGCCGGGACAGGCTCTGTTGGCACCCGCGCCCCTTTGACGAGCCCAAGCCACAAGTGTGCTCTCCAAGGGACAGCACCCTGGGAGCACCTGGTACCCTCCGAGGCCGAGTTCGGACAGAGGTGCCAGAACGGTGAGATGACGACCAGCAGGGGAGAGGGACCCCTCTCCCCGCCCCACCAGGTTTGGCCCAGGCCTGCGCCAGCCTCCGCTTCCTAGAGCGGAGGGTGGGCACCCGGTTAGAGGGCTCTGACCCACGTTCTCACCCGAAGGCCCCTCACACCTGGTCAGAACAGACCGCTCTGCCCCGCCCGGGGGGCTCGGGGGTGGAGTGCCGTCCCAATGCGCCAAGGCTGGGGGTTTGGTCCCCGGTCAGGACTCGAACAACAAGAGACCAATGAGTGCATCCGTGAGCAGAACAACGGAGCCAATGATTCCCTCTCCCTCGAATCAGTAGAAAAATAAAAACTATCCCACCACACGCAGCAGCGTGCCGCCGCCCAGGGACCTCCTGGCCCCAAAGCACCAGCGGCTCAGCAGGTCCGCAGGCAGAGAGCAAAACCACAAAGCCAACCCTCACCGCCGCCCCCCCGGGACTCTCCTGCAGGGACTCTCCGGGACTCAGCACCCCCAGCCCCTCCTGCCTCCTCGAAAAGTGCAGAAAAAGCTCTCGCTAGTGCAGGACATTCTCTGAGACCGAGACTGTCCGTCCCTGCAGTCACCCTGTCACACCAACCCCTGCAACTCTGGGCGGCCAAGGTCAAAGTGGGCGGGAAGCTGGCTTTTTGCTCCCAGAATCCCATCTGCTTTGAATGGGGTCTCATTGGCCTCTTCACGGCCACCCCTCCCTTCCTGCTCCCCTCTGCGGAGTCCTTGACCCCCCGCCCCCGCCCTCCAGCCACAGGACAGCTCAGCCACAGCCCCAGCCCAGGAGCTGGAGTTCCAGGTGCGCACGCAGGTGAGGGAGACACGAGGGGCCGGAAACGGACGGCCGTGCACTGGCGGTCCTGGAGGCTGGGAGAGCGATTCTCTCATGCCGCACGTTTGACATGTCCCTAATGAGGGGCTCAGAGGTCAGCACCTCGGCCCCAGAGCCAGCAAACCTCTAGCTGCTAGCAAATCTCCATCTTGAAGCTCACAGGTGAGCGATGCTCCTAACCCGTGTGAATGACACTCCACACGCACTGGTCCTGGGGCCTGGAGGCTCCACCCACTACCTCTGGTGCCCCCAGGTTTTTTTTTTTTAAGATTTTATTTTATTTTTAGAGAGAGAAGAGGGAGAAAGAGAGGGAGAGACACATCAGTGTGTGGTTGCCTCTCATGCGCCCCCTAGTGGGGACCTGGCCCGCAACCCAGGCCTGTGCCCTGACTGGGGATCAGATGGGTGACCTGGTTTGCAGGCCAGGGCCCAATCTGCCAGGGCCACTCCAGCCGGGACTGGCGACCCCAGTGTCGTCTCCCTGCTCTACACTCCCGGACCCCAGCGCACGGCCTCTCGGGGGTCTCTGGCAGGCTCTTCCCACAGGACAGCGCTCCGGGACAGACTGCCCCTCGCGGCCCCCGGGGTGGGGGAGAACCCCCGACCCCTGCACTTCGGAGCCCCGGACCCCGCACCAAGGGAACAACAAATCTCCGCTGTTGGAAGACACCCAGCTCGTGGCCTCGGGAAAGCGGCACGCCCTGTCAAGTACCGGGGCTGGAACTCTGAGAAAAAGGGCACGGTCTTAAAGAATTCGTCCTTCCCGTTTGAACTGGGAAAGAGCAAGAGTGCGGCGCGGTCTGCTCTGGGAGGAGCGGGAGGCCCGCCGGTCTGGGCCGGAGCCCCGCATGGCAGCCCGCAGACGGGCAGAGGCCCAGCGGGGCCGGAACCGCCCTGAGTGCGGTTTCAGTCACCGGGACTCCAGCCACTACGCTGACACTGTTCCCAGTATGCGGGCAGGCAAACCCCGGCTGGGAGGAACCCAGAGCAAAAGGGAACAAGTCTGGGTGGACACGAAGGTCTAGTTTTTAAAGGCATCGTCATCCGACCTTAGGTTTGAGCTTTAATACAGCAAAAACCAGAAACAGCCCCAGGCCCCACCCCCCGGGGGAAGAAGTCGTTTTTTTAGACTGACCTCACAGGTGGGTGTTAAGAAGTCATAACCTGGGTCCCTGAAGTTTTAAAATGGAAAAGTTAGGGAGCAGATGACCAACTTCCCGCCAGTCCTTTGTTGTGCCCCTTGTCCGTCCTGGCCCCACCCCTTGTCCGTCCTGGCCCCACCCCTTGTCTGTCCTGGCCCCACCCCTTGTCTGTCCTGGCCCCACCCCTGCCCATCCTGGCCCCACCCCTGCCCGTCCTGACCCCCAACCTCACCCAGCTGTGATTGTGAGGCAGCGGGATGAGAAGCCCAAAAACAAAACAGAAATGGAGGGCAGGTGTGTGCATCTGACATTTGTTAAAAGGTGAACATTTGGCACATTTTTGTAATGAAGCTTTAAAAAGTTCACTTTGTAAATAGGCTGTCGAATTAACGTATTAGAAAAACTCTGGATAACAGCAAAACTATTTTTAAAAATACTACAAACTAAACGCCTGCCTACTAGGCAAGAAGAGGAAAACGGGGCGGGGGGGGGGGGGTCAGGGCTTCCCCAGACAGCCCACAGGGCGGCCCCTCCGTGCGGGGGAGGGGAGTCCCAGGCCCGAGCACCTGTGGCTCCTCCTGGGTCCGTGCCCAGAAGAAGTGGGCCCGGGGGGGACACGCCGGCCCCCACCTGGAGTCGGGGACACGCCGGGGCAGCGGCCGGTGAAGTCCAGGGGGCCGGCTGCGGAGCGAGGAGGAGTCGGGCAGCGCCGCGGGCCTGGAGGACAGGAGGGGACAACCGCGTGAGGCGCCCCTTTTCCCAAGAGACGCGTGAGCGCACACGTCTCTGACCAGGACCCCCAGACCTGAGCGGGCGCCTGGCCTCCACGCCCGGCCCGGGCCCGGGGGCGGCCGGGACAGCTCGCGCAGCCGGCCGAGGGGAGGTCGGGGGACTGACGGGCCCCTGGTCCTGGCCGCGCGCGGAAGGCCGCTCCGGGTAAGTGCGCGCCCCCAAACTCACGGGCTGGGGTCGCCCCTGGGGGGGGACAGTCAGGTGTGTGTTTTGGTGCAGAAAACACATCTTTCCTCTCCTTCCTTCTCCCTCCTTCCCCCCATGTTAGTATTTAAGGCGAAAGCCTTCATACGGCACTAGGTATTATTTTGACAAGACACTTTTTTTTGTACAATTTTTGATAAACAAATTAAAAAGGAATGACAGAGGATTTTTTTTTCTGTTCCGCAATTTCCTGTCCCGATGCCACCTGAAAAAAGGCCAACACTTGTAACTCCGGTTCAAGACAGAGTGGACCAAGCTTTAAAGGGAAAGAGCGGTTCCGGCGCGGCCCGTCCCCGGGTTACCTGGCAGTGCAGGGCGGGCGGGCGGGCGGGTCCGGCGTGCGGGGCCCGCGGAGTCCATCAGATCACAGCTCTGCGCCCCAGGAAAGAGGGGGGCCGGCGGTTCAGGCTGCAGGCACCCACCGCACGGCGTGAGCGCAGCTTCTCCCTCGCGGTCAACCGATTTCAGTCGATGTGCTTTGCAGGGGTGTCCAGCCCACGCCCCGCGGACGGCTGTGAATGCGCCCCGACACAAAATCGTGAATTTACTTAAAACACGAGATATTTTTTGGAGTGCATGTTGCAGTGTATTTAACGTGCGGCCCCGAGACGCCGGAAGCTCGGACACTCCTGCTTTCGAGGGAACCTCAGGTCCGAGGGTCTCGTTTGGGAGAAACACCGCGGAGCTCTGCCAGCAGGTGCTGGTTGGCCGCAGGCTGGTCCCAGGTGCCCCAGAATTCTCCCGTGGGCCCGGGGGAAGGGGGGGCCCACACCGCCCCACACAGGTTGGCTGTTGTCTGAGGGCAAAGCGGGGGTGCCCCCAGGACGCCCTCCCACTGCCGCCCTGGGGGCGCCCTGTGTCAGTCCCTCCTCATAACTGGAGGGAATCACCCATCACCCCCCACCTCACGCCAGGGTCTCCCAAGCAAGGACCTCCGCGTCAGGGGTGGGGCACCATCCTCACTCCGCATGGCAGGGACCCCCCCTCACAGGGTGGGAGTGGGGGGGTGATGTCTTCCCGAGGTGTAGGGACACCCCCCACTCTCGGGGGGGAATGTCCTCCTCGCCTCTATGGGGCAGGGACCACGCGGGAGCGAGGCTGTGGGCCTCAGAGCCCCTTCTTTCTGGAGGAGACACCCCCTCTCCTATCGCCGCCCACGTGGCTTTCACAAGCGCTCTCCCCCCGCCCCCCCCCCCCCCCCCGGCAGGGACAGCCACCGCCCCAGAGGCGCCACAGGTGGCCGCGCTTATCGCCGCCGAGCGCACCTGGCCGGCGCACCTGGCCGGCGCACCTGGCCTGAACGGCGGCGCCCACCTGGCCGAGAGCGGGCGGGGCCTAAGTTTCCCCGGCCCCCATTCAGCCTCCCAGGCAGGGGTCAAGGCACTGGGGCGTGAGGCTGACTCCGAGTAGGGGTGGTGTCACTAAGCTGGCGCCACCGGAATCCGCTCGGGGGAGGCTGGACCCGCATGGCCGCGTCCGGATGCGGGTGCCCGGGGCGGACTCCGCGCGCTCACCTTCGGAAAGGCACGGCCATCCTGCGCCCACGTGATCGTCCCGAGTCCCGAAGGAAGGTCGTGCGGGCCGGGCCTGCGCGGTGTGACGTCACAGGCATTTCCATGGTAACACAGCTCGCGTCGCCCTCCCAAAACTATGGATCCTTCCTCCTGCCGGGCCCGCGGTCAGGGCTCCACACGTGACCCGGGAGGCCTTCCTTTTCCAGGGCCTAAAGCTGCAGTGAAACCTGGAGGGACCACCCTGGGCCGGGGGCGTCCGAGCCCTTTCACGGGGCCCGCGCTGCCCGCCCCCCGCCCCCGCCGGCAATCGCCCGTGCCCCTCCCCCCGCCCCAGGGTGGTCGCCTGGCCCACCTCTTCCGACTCCGCCGCCAAGGCCCCTGTGTCCCTCCACCCAGGGCTCTGACCTTGGCGGGAGAAGCCGCTCACCCCGCCCCTACCCGGCTACCCTTGGCCGCCCAGTTTGGCACCTCCTCCGTGAAGCCCTCCTTGACCGCGGGCATCCCAGTTGGGACCCCCTCCTCGCTCAAGGACTTCCGGGCCCAGTCTTCCGCGACTGCGCCAATTTTGAATGAATGATGAACTCAAATGCTCAGTCACTTATTTATTATTATTAACTTTTTAAGATTTTATTTATTTTTAGAGAGAGGAGAAGGGAGGGAGAAAGGAAGAGAAGCATCAGTGTGTGGTTGCCTATCACGTGGCCCCCACTGGGGACCTGGCCCACAACCCAGGCATGTGCCCTGACTGGGAATTGAACCGGCGACCCTTTGGTTCGTGGCCTGTGCTCAATCCACTGAGCTATTTTTAAAGCAGTGTTTTGAAGTCAGAAAGAGTGGATCCTCCTCCTTTGTCCCTTTTCAAGGTCATTTGGCTTTTCTGGGTCCCTAGAGTTTCCATGGGAATTTTAGACTCGGTTTGTCCATTTCTGGGGGGGAACGCCAGGGGTCATTTCGATAGGGACTGTGCTGGGTCTGCAGATCACCTCGGGGAGTGTCGCTCCCTGACGGATTTGGGTCTTCCCGTCTAGGAACGTGGGGCGTCCTTTCTTTCAGTAGGTCTTCTTGTTAGAACCAGGTTCTGTCGTTTCTAGAATGTGAGTGGCACATTTATTTTGTTACATTTATTTCTAGGGATAAGTGTTTTTTTACTCCTCACCTGAGGATATATTTATGGATTTTAGAGAAGAAGGGAGAGAGGGAGAGGGGTGTGAGCGAGAAACGTCCATCAGGTGCCTCTTGCACGTGCCCCCGCCAGGGGGCGAGCCCACGGCATCTTCGTGTGTGGGACAGTGTGCCAGCCAACTGAGCCACCCAGCACCCAGCCAGGGCTATTTTTAAGTATGTTTGATGCTATTGTAAAAATAGAACTGTTTTTGCCCTGGCAGAGCAGCTTAGGGGGTTAGAGCATCATGCCAGTGCACCAAGGTTGCGGGTTCAGTCCCCAGTCGCGGCACATGCAAGCATCAACCAGTAAACACACAAATAAGGGGAACAAATAATCAATGTTTTTCTTTCTCTCTCTCCCCCTCCCTCTGTCTTTCTCTCTAAAAATCAGTAAGACAACATTGCACTATAAAAACAGAACTGTATTCTTAATTTTATTTTTGGATTATTCACTGTCCGTGTGTAGAAATGCAACTGAATTTGAATACTGATCTTGCATCCTGAAACTTTGCCGAAACTGTTCTAATGGGCGGGGGGGGGGGGGGTGTTCCTCACAATTGTCTTTCTTTTTTTCCTTTTTTCTTGTGCACGTATGGTTATTAAAGCTGGGGACCCGGAAACAAAGGAGGGGCTTGGGGTAGAAGTAGTAGTGGGAGCGTCCAGGCAGGGCCTCTGGGGTTCCCTGGAGACGCTACCGGGAGGAAGTGAGCGCAGGCGGGGCGGCCGCCGGCTCTCCAGGACGTCCGAGACAGGGGGGTCCTCGGAGACAGGATCGGGGTGAGCCGGGGACAAGCCGCCACTGCCTGCCGCTCCCCTGGTGGCAAGTCTCTGGGGACCCTTGGCGTTTGGGGGAGACAGGGGAACATGCACTCCTGGGAGGGAGGAACAGGAACGGCGTGGCGTGCCCTGGAGAGAGCCGTGACTTCCCAGAGCCAGGCCACGCCCCGCGTCCGCCCGCAGAGAGACAGGGCTCCTCCCCCCCCCCCCCCCCGCCGCGTCCCTGCCGGCTCCTCCCTGTCCTGACAAACGGCCTTGCTGCCTGGAACGTGCCAGAAGGGACATCCTGTCTCCTTCTGATGCGGGCACGTCATCATGGCCCCGAGCCCCTGGGGTGTGTCCGAGTGACAGAGACGGCGGAGGGGCGGGCGAAGCGCTCACAGATGCAGCCACGCGCTGGAATCCCCAGGGGCGCCTGCAGAAGCCGGGGTGGGTGGGGATGTTTGGGGGGCCGTGGTTCCGTCCATTCCGCCATTTAACAAGCGAAAGCTGATCTGTCCATTCCTGTTCCTTCTGATTTGTTAGGATTTTTGTGCGTTTTTTTTTTAATCTGGAATTTAAAAATGATCAGTGCTTGACTTGGGCCCCGCTTCCAGCTCTGGAACGCTCACTGGGCAAGTGCCGGGGCCCCGAGTTACTGGACGCGTGTGGTCCAGGCAGACCGACGCTCCGGCGGATGACCCGCTCAGCCCGTGGGCTCTGCGGTCACTGCGGGCTCTGCAGTCAGACCTTGACGATGCTGTTGGTACTCGGGGACTCCCCGAGAGCCCTGCTTCCTGGAACGCTCCCCCCATCCGCCCCCGCCGGGGCGGCCAGGCGATGTGCCTCCCTGCAGAAGGGCAATCTGTCCTCACACTGTCAAAGGCTGGAGCAGACCTCGAAGGCCTAGAAAAGGAAACAAGAGCTTCCTAAAGTTTACTAAACTATTTGAACAGATTGCCATCCCCACAGGAGGGGGGAAACGGCAGTTATCTGCACCAGCTCTTCATGCAGCTCCACAGGTGCGCACCGGGCGCACCAGACTGGAGGTGACCAACGCCACACGCCTCCTGGGGACCGGCGGCAGGGAGGCGGGAGGACTGACCGCGGACTCTGTCTTGCAGGGCACTGGTAGGAAATGCCCCCAAGGACGAGCGAGGATACCAGGGGCTTTTCTGAAGGAAAGGACTGGACGCCAAGGCCGGTCCCTCGGCAGGAAGACCAGGGCGGGCAAGCCCCTGCCGAGGGGAGGGGGAGGGTCTCGGGAACGTGCAGCGGTCGCACAGGCCGCACAGCGTTTTAAATGCAGTTAGACCGCCGCACTGCACATGCAAAGGGTTAAGTCGTCTGCCTCGGACATCTTTCCACAGAAAAGACCACCCCTGGATGGGTCGCCTGGTGCGGTGCTCGAAGGCCTGAGACGGGGTCCCTCGGGGCTCAGTGGACGACCTGCGTCCTGGGACCCTCCAACCTCAGGAGGCCCGCGAGAGACGGAGGGGGTTCGGAAACCTCCAGAATGAAGTTCAAAGGATAGAAGCAGAAATCAGAGACTGCACGTTGAAGTGTTTGGAAGTGGGTGCGCTCAGGCTGACTCACGAACAAATACTCAAGTGTGTGTGCCGTGTGCCGGTCACCGACCCCAGTGCTTGAGGCAGGCGTGCAGGTCTGTCCTCAAGGCCCAGGACTGGCCGGGACCTGCCTTCGGACACACAGCCGAGCCTCAGAGCTGACCCACCCAGTGCCGGCCCGGCGCTCAGAGAGGCCGGGAGGCTGCCAAGGAGACTGGACTATTTTTTTTTTTTTTAAGATTTTATTAACAAAGGGAAAAGGAGGAAGAAAGAGAGGGAGAGAAACATCAGTGTGTTGTTGCTTCTCACGCACCCCCTGCTGGGGACCCAGCCCACAACCCAGGCATGTGTCCCGACTGGGAATCAAACCTGCGACCCTTTGGTTTGCAGGCCGGCACTCAGTCCGCTGAGCCACACCAGCCAGGGCTGCCCCACTGTTTTGAGGAGGCCACCAGCACTGGCCACGGGCCCGCCCTCCAGAAGAGCTGCCGCTGCACCGTCCCACTCCGAGTGGGCCTGCAGCCCGGGCTACTGTCCACGTGATCCCGCCCTCCACTCTCTCGCCATTCAGTCCTACCGACAGGGACCCACCGGGCTCTCCAGCAGGGTCCTGGGGAGGCTCCCACTCCCTCTGTGTCGAGATGCGGTCCGCTTCACATCAGCAGTCACCCCCTTCCGGGAGCCCCCCCAAACCTTGCCCTCCTGGCTGTCCTCACACCTCCACTGGGCTCCTCAGGGCCGGCACCGTAGCTGCCATTGCTGTTTTCCTCCGCCCACCTTCCCCCACAACGCCAGTTCTCGCAGTACTGGGCTGGTTCGTTGTTTGTTTTTTTCCTTTTTAAGATTTTTATTTGTTTTTAGAGAGGGGAAGGAAGGAAGGAGAGAAACATCGATGTGTGATTGTCATGGCCCCCCTACCAGCCACTGGTGATCCAGCCTACAACCCAGGTGTGTGTCCTGACTGGTGATCGAACCAGTGACCTTTCGGTTTGCAGACTGGCACTCAATCCATTGAGCCACACCAGCCAGGGCTGGGCTGGTTCTTAGCAGGGGGTTCAATAAAAACTTGGTGCATGAGTGCCTGGTAAGGATAGCTAGTAAGTTCAGAGGATGAGAGGCAGTGAGTGGGAATAGTCCAGGGAGACTTCCTGGAGGAGGTGTGGCTTAGACTGGGGCTTGCAGGGCATTACACGGCAGGACACCATCTGTGGTGGACGGGAACCTAAGGTGACCTCATGGGACAACAGGGGGGGAAGGTCTCACCCTGGACACAGAGCTGAGTCAGATCTAGGGAGCCAGAGGTCTGGGCTGGGCCCCCTGGAAGTAATAGCTGTCAGTTTTGAGCGCTTGCTAACGCCGGGCCCCTGGTAAGCTGCTTACCTAGAAAATGGCGGCCAGCCTGGAGGTCTGTCCCTGAGAGACGAGAGGGAATGCTCGC